TGTTGCTAAAATGTTTGTGTTCCTTGTATGGGTCTGAAGTTGTTTGTGTTGTTTCTGTTTAGAAATCGGTGTAATCATTTTGTTAGTTTTTGAGTTGATGATTTTCAACCAGTATTTCGGGTTTACGGTCTCTTAAAACGGCAGTCTGCACGGTTTCCTTTCCCGGGTTTTGTAGAAAAAATATGGATTTAAAAGGACAATGGAGGTTATTCTGCTTTTTATGGGTCTGCAATGAAATTTGTCTGGATATTTTGGGTTTGCAGATGTCATGCTCTTAATTATTGTTGTACTCTGAATAACGATCCCGTTTTCATTGGTTTAGGTGTTGAAGTGAAGGCTGGAGAGCCTCTAAAAGTAGTGCCAGAGGAAAGCTCTGTTATCCACTTGTCACAGGTTAATCGATTTTTGTACTAATTTTTCTTTGTAATCACGGTACATGGCATGCCTTCGCGAGTTTATTAATAGTTTCTTGTTCTCTAGGCAACTCTGGGCGAGTTGAAAAAGGGAGGTGATCAGTGTGTTATCCATGTCAAGGTTGGGAACCAGAAGCTTGTTTTGGCAAATCTCTCATCTGATAAAATTCCTCAGATTCCCTTTGACTTGGTCTTTGACAAAGAGTTCGAGCTCTCGCACAACTTGAAAAGTGGGAGTGTCCACTTCTGTGGTTATCAAACTTGCCTCGCAGAATATCCTTTTAATCGTTTGTGTTTATGCTGACTTGATTGTTGGATCATATGATATTTACACTTACTTTCTAAGTGCCTTAAACTTGTTAAGATAAGATGGAGTCTCATTTTAAATGCTGTGTTCAGTTGTTTGTTTCTCTACTGCTAATTTTTTTTTCTGTTGTTGGTTACCCTCTTAGGATAACCTTTAGTTGGGTCTTTGATTTTTTTCGTACCTCAGCAGGGTGTAGTATTGTTGGACCGGGTTGGGTTGAGCACCCTAAAATTGGGAACAAGTTAATTGGTTTATAGTACCATATTGTTACATTGTTTTTTCAAAATTAAGTTTATTGTAATTTTATCATGTTTTTGTGTTGACTGTTGGTAGAGAGGTATTCAAAACTTTCGGCAGTTGTACCTATTGCTTTTGGGATGAAAAATGTACAAGTTCATTATTATGTTTTTTCTTCCCTGCTAGTTATCTTTTGAGGAAAACAAGTTTTTGTGAACTGGGGTTTTAAATTGCATGAAAACTAATATAATGCTGATTTTGTAATTTAGTGTTGATTAATATTGCAATACTTAGTTTTTCTCCATTGCTTCCTTGACTACTTGCTCTGTTCTGCTGCCACTGAATCGGATGAGGAGGACCAATCTGGTAAGTTCTATCATATTTTACCTTTCTGTTTTCTGTTTTCTGTTTATCATGAATTTATTATTCAACCATAGCTCATATGGTTACAATTTTCCATGTATGTATTATTCACAGATTCAGAAGAGGATCTCCCACTGAATTTTACCGACAATGGTAAATGCTGCACTTGGACTTCTCTTAATTTTCCTGCAGGAATATGTTGTAAGTTGAATTCATTCTTACCAGTTTTTGGATTGTGCACAGGTAAAGTTGTTGCAGCAAAGCCAGCTCCACCCAAGACTAATGCTGTCAAACCAGAATCTTCTGGAAAGCAGAAGGTTAATATTGTAGAGCCAATTAAGGATGAGGATGATTCTGATGACTCAGATGATATTGGTGATTCTGATGATGATGATGACGATAGAAGTTCTGATGAGGTAACCAAAAGGGTTTCATAAGAATATGGCTGTTCTTTTAATAATTATAATTGAAATTTGTTCTGAATTGTCCCAAAAAGTATACAGATTATGAACTTTTTGCACACTGACGATGTCTTTTGACATCCCCTTGGCCTTTTTGTTTCATCCACAAGTTAACTTATTTTAACTGCTGTGGTTTTAGCCAATGTCTAAAATTAGTTTGAGCTTTATTTTTTTCCTCTTTAGTTCTGAAAATTTGTTCGTGGGCTGTGTTTCAACTTGTTTGTTGTTGGAGGTTCTTTGGTCAAACATTAGCTTTGGATTTAGCTTTAAGATTACCAGTTTCTTGCTTGTATCTAATAAATAACTTTCAAAATTTGCGTTTCCTATTGTAGGACATGCTTGGAGCTGATAGCAGTGATGAAGATGATGATGACAGTGAGGAAGAAGAGGAGACCCCAACTCCTAAGAAGGTAATCAAATGAATTCATTTGGTTCCCGTTTGTTTGCTTTTGGCTTCCGGATTTTTAACTTGCTATCTATGCGAGTTCTAATTGTTCATAATTTGATAATTTATCTAGAACTCCAAGAAAAGGCCCAATGAATCTACTCCAAAAACTCCTGTCTCTGCTAAGAAGGCAAAGCAAGTTACTCCACAGAAGACTGGTACTTTTCCTCTCTCACACAGAAAAGCATTATTTAGTATAATATTTCTGCGAATGATTCTTCCTGTTTTCTAGCTTTAGGAATTTATCTTGCATGTCAACATGTGATGTAAATGTATAACGATTGGGGAAACTCAACATGCAAAATTAATTCGTAATTCTATAAAATTATCTCATTTACTTAGCGCAATTGGTTGCTTCTGTTACAGATGGAAAGAAGGGTGCCCACACTGCTACACCACACCCTGCAAAGAAGGGAGGAAAGACTCCTGCTACCTCTGACAAGTCCAAGCCACAAACACCCAAGTCTGCTGGCGGCGATCACTCTTGCAAGCCATGCAACAAGTATGTTGAAATGAAAACTGTTTTTTTCTTTACTATCAGGTGTCTATCGTATTTTGTTGCTGGTTTTCATGTGGTGTTTTGCTGTTTGCAGGTCATTTAACTCGGATGGTGCTCTTTCGTCTCACAAGAAGGCCAAGCACGGCGCTAAGTAGAACGAGAGGGATGTACGGAAGCGTGACATGTCTATGATATATAATATTTTTGATAATTGAGATTACAGAGGGTTGGGCGTAGTGGTTGTCCTCGTGGTTTTTGAGATCGTCGTCGTGTCCTCATGGTTTTTGGTCCCTTTGTATTGGATATTGCTCATGAATCTGAAGTTAGGTGTAATATGTTTTGAATCTCCTAATCTCACTGCACACTCGTGACTCGTGATGTTTGTTTTTTGTTTGATTTATTCAGTTTGACAATTAGAGAGTGGTTGGTTGGCGAAAAGTGTTTGGATATCATTTTTCTTATCTAAATATCGGTTTAAATCTTATATATTATTCTTATTAGAGTTTGACAAATTGATATTTTACCATAATATAATCTCACAGCTTCAATCTAAGCCTAACATAATCAAGACTGGTGTAGAGTATGGTTAGCCGGAACACCGCAACTTGCCAAGTATGGCGGCCGGATCTTTCATTAACGTGCCGGTCTGGTTGGTGAAATGGGTTCTTGGTAATGAACACCCTAATATCAACACACTTGTGGGTGCCGTTTGTCTCCGTATATCCGAAGTTTATACTTAATAGAGAGATGCATAAAAAGAGAATTTTATCCGGATTATTAAGCATAAAGTGCACGAATTGAGGGGGCTTTAGAGTAAGAAATGCTAGCTACCTTTTCCAACTGCTTACTTTCTTTGTTCGTCGTATACAAGTGTAGAAAAAGATTGCGAGGATTAAATGGTATGGAATATAATGTACTCTAAAAATTTGGTGAATGTAAGAGGGATGTGGACTTTACATTTATAGCGGAAATGAATATACTTTAATCCCTTTGAATCCTTTCCCACGTAGCAAATGCAATCATTAAATAAGGATAATTACCTAATTACTAGGATTTAGGAATGATTTCGAATTGGTCTTAACCATTTGAAACATTCTTAAGTACAGTAAAATCTCTATAAAGTCATAATGTTGGGACTAACCACTTTAACTTTAAAGAGGTTAGTACTTAATAAAGCTATGGTTAAAAAAATATTATTTGTTGACTTATTTTCTTTAATGATTGTTGTGTTTCCCAAATGGTATTCATATGTCGTATTAAAATACTAAAAGTTGTATTTCCCAAATAGTATTCATATACGGAAATACTAAAAGTTTCTTGCCAGGAAGTTATAAACATGCTTGAGTTGTTAGAAACATTTTGGGTTCAACAAGATGGTGTCTATGTTGAAGAGGTATTACGCACTCACAGTCTCAAAATGCGATATCCTCTAAAAACTAAAACATTGTCGCTATTTTAGATAAGTATTTTAGTTCATCTTAAACTTATATATGTGACATTGCAAATTTTTGTATCATTGACAAATATTACCATATGAAAGTGTGTTTCTTTAATATGGAGTTTATTTCTATACAGAATTGGTTAGGACCGAAATTATTTTATGAGTGATATTGCATATTTTTTGTATCATTGACAAGTATTACTGTTTGAATGTGCATTTCTTTGATATGGAACCAAGAAATGTTATAACTCAAAGTGGAGTTTATTTCCATATATAACTGGTCTCAAGTTAAAATCGAAATTATTCTATTACTTGGGTCATTACTTTATAGAGTATTACTAGAGGGTTTTACTGTGACAGTAGCTGCATAACAAAATTGGACGTCCGTTGATCTATCCATGGACCTCAGAATCCCCATACTAACCTCTTTTAGCAAGCAAATTGGGGATTCAATTTAGCTGATGGGATTAAGATTTCTTATTAAAAGACAAAAAAATGAGGGAAAAAATGTGATTGGTTGCCTGCATAAATCTTAACCAGGTAAGATTACGATGGTCTTGGTCTTGGTTTGTTCACCCTTAGATAAAATGACACAAAATGCACCCTTAAGCCCTCGGATTAATAGGGTCCTCCATCCACCATGGTAGCTAATATATACAATTTTAACCTTTCTCCATGTTAATTCTTGTCCTCTGATCATCTTCAATTCATTAAATCTGACAGTAAAAAATTAAAAGAAGCGTGAAACGTAAAATGAGGTGTAGATAGCATCATACATGACAAAAACTTAATGCTTTAAAATTCACCAATATATATATGAAAAGAGACGTAATGTTGGAGAAGGATAGTCTATCATTAAAACAGAGACAACATCATATGATCATGCCAACTAAAAACATCAAATGATAATCCTTGAACATTCCGAAATGTAAACCAACTTGTTCAACAACATGAGAGATTTTGTTTGCCACACTCAACCTGCAACACAATTAGACTACTACTTTAGGCTACTACTACTACTACCAACAGTAATAACCTGCAACATTCGTTCGAGCAATGGAACACGAAGATACTTTCATACTCCTGAATCGAAACCTGAAACATCGAATAATGACATTCTCCTGAATCCTGAAACACTGCACCAGCAAACCTGTACACAAATTCCATGGTAAGCTGCAATGAAAAGAAAAAGGCTCGGACCATAGAAGCAGGGGAACCTGAACCTGCAAAACTTGTCAAGAATGTAAGATCATGACTTTTTTTTATTCCGTAAACTGAAACAGAAAAATAAATAAAGCTACAAAGGGAGAAGAAAACAAAACCCAAGACAGAACCATGACATTCGATCTTTCACTACTCTTGATTTGTGGTTGTCACAGAACCTGACTGTAAATTGTGAATGCATGAATACAAGCAAACAAATTTCACACGTCTGTAATATATCAACTAGGGATTGGTTTACATGGAAATAAAAAAAAAATGCCAATTTGATTAAACTAAGTTAGATCAGCCCCTACTGCCCAGACAGAAGTTCTTTGTTCGGGAGCTAAGAACTAAAAGTTTTTTTTTTTTTTTTTTGTTTGTTTCAAATATCCAGTTCAAATTGCGTCCTAGCATTCTTACGGCTGAAGAGATAAGGCTTTGTTGTTATTGGGCAGTAGGGGAAAAAAATATATTCAGGTATATCATGCAGGAAGCACGCAGTCATACATATGAATTAGATTAAAAAAAATGCAGTCATATCAATTCCATATCACTAGTGTGAACCTGCACACCACCTGCACATTGGAAAATGTGCCGTAAGCTATATTTATTGAACGAATGCTTGCTGTTGAAACATAAATTTCTTTTGTGATTGAGCACGCATAATATATGTTGATACGTATGCATGTGTGTACGCATGAGAGAGAGAGAGGGAGGGAGAGAGAGGGAGAGAGCGTATCTCTATATGTGTGTGTGCATCTACATATGTATATTTACAGAGAGAGAGAGAGTGAGGCAAAACCAGACAAAAGCTTTATAATATCAGTAGTCATACCCTCATTTCTCTGGAAGTTGCTATTGCTGCTCTTACTCATGGCCATTGTACTGATTTTCCATATGTGCATGCCCATCATTGTCGCTTCTGTCAGTGTTGACCCTACTAGCATTTTCATTCTGTTCTTTTTCCCTATTCCACTGCTCAATTTTGGCCCGTCTCTCCTCACTTCCTTCTCTAACTGGACTGTGGTTTCTTCTTCTTCCAGGGCTTCTACTTCTACTGCGTCCTCTCTTTCGACCAGGGCTTAGAGTCTTGTTCCTCCGGCTCCAGCTTTCAGGATAACGATCATCATCATCATACCTTCTGCTAAGAGCACGGCTCCCATGAGAGCGCTCTTCGTAACTACGATGCCTGTAAGGGCTGCGACTCCTACTTCGACTGTGGCTGTGCCTTCTCCGATAGCTTCCAAATAATTCACGCCTCAATTCCCTGACATTGTAAGTTTATAACAAAGTATGAGTAAATTTAATTTATCAGTACATTCTGTAATAAGAAAAAAGAGGTCGCACTTGGTGCGATGGCAAGTGCCTTCGCCCATGAGCGGTAGGTCTCGGGTTCGAGACTTGGGAGCAGCCTCTCCATAAATGGGGGTAAGGCTAGCCGACATTCACCTCTCCCTGGCCTTCGTAAAGCGGGAGCCTTGTGCACTGGGTACGACCCTTTATTCTGTAATAAGAAAAGATCATCAAGTAAAGCTTACCTGCCAATCCTTTTCAGGTGCATAAAATTGCAGTATCCACCACGGTTGCATGTATTCTCCTCATATTGCCTGCAGGTGGCTTCACGGAAGTTTGTCACTGGTGAATAGTCAACAATGATAGGACGACCTGCAAATGATTTACAATGGGACAGAAGTTCAGCATATAATAACCATATAATTTAGGCCTAAATAGAGATATAAACCATACCTAGTAGAAACCTTGAGACCAAAATCCAAAGATGAAAGATACAGAGAAACACTAACCAGCATAAAATCTTCCACTCAGGTTCCGAAGTGCATTTGCAGCGTGATCTTCCTCCCTAAACTGAACGTACACATTGCCCACCTGCCCAAATTGATAAATTTCCCGGCAGAACCAAATATCAATAATCTTTCTGTTGAAACAAAAAATAAAAGAGGAAAACTGAACAAGAGCTTAACTCTCCGTTCAATATAACATACCATGTGGTCGGCTAGGTTGTCACAGACATTCAGACTTTCAATGTCGCCATACTTACTCAACTCCTGATATAGATCCTCATAAAACTCCTGCAGTTCCCATACATCAAAATTTTAATTGTCGGGCGTATCACATACAGAATACAAATGGATTTGCACAACCTCTAAAAGTTTCCAACTATTTCACAGCTGTGTATTAAGCATTCGGGGGTTTAAGGTAACAAAAGATCATACAAAAGTTTATTTTGTACCGAACGCACCCTACAACCGATTTCGTAATTTTATTCAACTCTACTTTCTCTCCTCTCCAACTAAAAATACTAGCAACAGATAAAATCTTTCAATTTCGTTTCGGACTGTTTGTTGAATAGTATTAACGATTCAATGTTTAATCACAGCAATTCAGATAAATTCACAAATGGGGCAATTGCAGAGACTCTAATATGGATAACAAAAAACCCTAATTCAGAGAAGCAGCACATAATTAAACGATAAATCAAATCAAATAAAACAGCACAAATTCAATTCAGTTTCCGTTGAATCATGGGTTTAATTGCACAAAACAACATTACATTAAAGCAAATCCGGCAAAAGGGTTTTCAATTTTCAATACAAAGAACAAGAAAAAGAAGGTTGAGGGAGACCTCGAAGTGCCTTTGCATCTGGCGGGGGTCGATGGGCTGGCCCTGGGCGTCGACGCCGGGGGTGATCATATCGGGCCGCTGGTACATGTTGGAGAGCAGGAGCGTGGGGCTGACGCTGGGCTTGGTGTGGAGTCTGGAGCAGCGGTCGCCGTGCCTGCAAGCCCCAATTTTGAAGTAGAAAGGGCAGTTCACTCGGTCCTTCTCCGTCCCGAATATCGAAGCCAAGTGCTCCGCCATGGCTGTCTTCGATTCTGCTGTAGTTGTCAATTAATGGGCGGAGGGAGGAAGCTTGAGACGGTGGCCGGAGGCGGAGGGTGGGCTATAAATCTTGAGGAAAGGGGAGACAGGAAGTGGTTGTTTGCAATTGTGGTTCTGGTTCTTCTAGAGGGTTCGTTCCGACGTTGGACGTGTTTATGTGAAATTGGGATCACGTGAGGGTTTGCATTATGTTATGTGGCCGCTCATCAATTACACGCCGATATACGATGAAATTGAATCGGATAATTTCTTACGCGACATGTTAAAACGACACATAAATGACATGAAAGCAGTGGTGGATTCAGGATTTTAACATAGGGTGGTCTCAATATAAAAGCTCCAAAAAAAATAGACGAAAATAGCGGTGAACAAATAAATGGCAAACTACAACTTTTCATTCATAATCTTTATGCTAAACAAGCTAGAAATCCTAAATTTGTCCACAAAGGGATTTCATGCTTTGAAATCGTGTCATGATAGTTTCATTGTCAATACAAGAAAAAACATCTTTCTCAATGTAAACAACTAAGCTATCATTTAACCATTGATCCCCTATTCTGTTGCGGAGTGGACTCTTAATGATATTCATGGCAGAAAATGCTCTCTCCACTGAAGCAGTTGCAACCGGTAAAACCAAAGCCAATTCAATAAGTAAATACACATATTGAAATACTTGATGCAACCCTTTTTCCACCATTTTCTTAGCAAGATCACTAATGCTTTGCAATTGAGAAAAGTCACTTCTCGAACGCATAGAGTGAATATAAATATCGAGTTGATCTTCAAGTGCCGACAGGTCTTACTTAGTAAAATCTTGAGTGTACAATTGAGCAAGGCGAAGTAACTTTTCTTTGTCAAAAGCTATAAAAGAATCATTTGGACTCAAAGTAGCCAAACATATGAGCAATTCAGTACTTGTCTCATTGAAGTGATCGTTTAACTCTGTAAGTTGGGAATCAATGACAACAAAAAAGAGCTCAACTTTGTAACGATGACGGTTGGTCTTTTTGTGGGTATTACGGCGCGACCTCCCTTGAGCTACATATGTCTCATCTATGTTAATAATCTCCATATGATGTTGGACACAAACTAACGATACTTTATCAACCAAAAGATCAAACCCCTCATCATTCCTCATGTAGAGTAGTTGTTCTTTACATGTGTTGACTAAAGCCATTGCATTCACAATCTCTTGATCATTCTTTTGTAATGTTTGTGATAAATCATTCGTGATTCCCAATATAGATTTCATCAAAAATAGGAGAAACACAAACTCAAAAGATTGTATGTCTCTCAATAACCTATTTGCTTCGGCCACACTATCATTGGTATTATCATCAACAATCATTGGTATTATCATCAACAATCATTTCAAGCACATTGACCACAGACGAGTACATAGAAATCAAACTAATCAAAGTACCATAATGTGAATTCCATCTTGTAGCTTTGGCACATTTGAGACTAGTTTCTTGATTTAAGCTTCATCCCGTCATAAGAGAATTATTTTCAAGAGCTTTCATAAGTTCTTTTTGTTGCATCTCTCTAAGTGCATCACGACGCTTACATGAAGCTCCAATATTATTTACCACATTATTAGCCAATAGGAAAAATGTATTAACATCAACATTATCCTTTGCTACGGCAACAAAAGCTAATTGGAGTTGATGAGCAAAGCAATGAACATAGAATACACAAGGTTGTTCATTCAAAATCTTTGTTTTGAGTCCATTGAACTCACCTTTCATATTACTAGCACCATCATAACCTTGCCCTCGTAAATTGGAGAAGCTCAACTCATTGAAATTAATGAACGCATCAATAGACTATTTTAGTGTGTTTGAAGTAGTGTCGGGAACATGTTGAACTCCTACAAACCTTTCAATGACTTTCCCATTTTGAAAGCCTACCTCAGTAAAGACGTCACTGCCTGATTGTTCAAAATTGACTTTGAATAAATAGCAATAAAAGCAAAATGCAGCATCTTTAGATATACTATATTCCAACCAATGAAATTCTTTCAACCAATTACCAACGAATCGTTGCCTCTTATTCGAATGCAAAGTGAATGGAAAATCATGATATTTAGCTCTAAAAGGCTCCATTAATATGTATGCTCTTCGGACCTCATCTCAAATATTTGGAGGATAGTCCTTCATTGGAATTCTCTTTCCGGGGTCTCTCTCAAGATTATCCAAATCAACTTTTAACTATTTTGTTGTGGAGTGGAACTACCCCCAATTGGATCAGAACAATTTGGAATTGGAGCAGAAGTTGGGGAACTATTCGGAATAGGATTGGAACTATCCAAGTTTGAAGGTAACTATTTGGAATATGATTGTCCGAACTAATCAATAATGATTTTTGCTTGTAATATCGTTCCATACTTCTAATTTCTACACATATCAATTAATAAAAAAAATCTATATCAATTGATAAAACTAAAAAATATATATGAACTAACATTGTAACACAATCTTCAACAAAAAAAAAAACCTATAACACAATCCAAGTAACATCAGAATTCTAACGAATCAACAATAAATATGTATGAACTAACATTAAAATAGATATGAAAAAATCCTAAGAAATTAACAATAAATAAGGTTGATGTTGTTCAACAATCCTAAGAAAAATCCTAAAATAGATATGAAAAACTCTAAAGCATCAACTGTAGTCTGTTCGGCCCCTTTGTTTTTAATTAGTGATGTTTTAAAAAATAAAAATAAAAAACTAAAACTAAAAATCCTAAAAAATCTGTATCAACTAACACTAAAAAGTAAGAACTAACACTAAATTAGAAAACTTACAGAAATTTTAAAGTTGATGCTGATGGGTGATGGCCTTCGGCTGACTTGGGAAGTGTGAGGAATAGCCGAACAGGAGGTTTGCTGATGGGTGATGGCTTTTGGCTGGCTTGGGAAGCGTGAGAGGCAGACAATTAGGTATATAAAAATTGGTAGTGTGAATAAGAAAGCAATCTGACTAATGAATGGGCATTTATAATATTTTAAATGATTTGACTTTTATTAAATGTATAAATTGGTGGTAGTGTGAGTGAGCATCACGTGAGTTTTAAAAAAAAAATTAATGACTTGGCTAAAAACGACGTCGTTTTGGCCAAGTCAGTTTAAAAAAAAATTTGCTTTCTTCTTCCTCTTCCTGTTTTGCACAGCGCACATCAGCCATAGATGTTGTTCTTCTCCACCACTGCCCAGATTTGGGTGGTCCTTCAAGGTCCTCACAGCCATTTATCCAAGCTTTTGGGTGGTCCTTGGACCACCTTGGTCCCTTATTAGATCCGCCTCTGCATGAAAGTAATGAGTTTTGGATTGACATGATAATTAATCGAGTCGTTATCGAGTCACACGATAAGAACTTGTTAATAACGGGTCCTAACAGATTTATACAATGGTGGCACGTGGATAACCCATTTCAACAGGTTAAAAAAATGTTAATTTGATGATTTTAATTTTTTAAACTAATAAAAAAACTTACTATAAAATATAATAGCCATAGTGTATGTGTATATATTGTATATTAAATATGTATTATTGTATTATTATTATATATAAATAAAAAAAATTAAGTTTATTTATTTATTTTTGTAGTATACAGGGCGTTTGTTTGCCCTCACTAAGTGGCACTGGACTGGACTGGACTAACAATTAGTCTAGTCTTGTGTTTGTTGTTGCACGGGACTAATGTTAATGAGACTAGCTGAGATTAGCCTAGACTAAGGGCATCGCTAGAGGTTCTTAGCAAGAGTCCCCGAAAACCATGGGACTAGCTAAGACCCCTCTCTGCTCTCTGTTTCACGAGACGTTAACCACATCGTTCCCGCTCTCCCTCTTACACCACCAGACGGCCACCACCCTCTCCCCCTTCGCTCTGAACCCACAATCACAAGACCTCAGATTCGCCCATCCCCGAGATGCTTTATCGTTGAGCTTGTTGTCGAGAGGCAACACTTCTCTGCTTAGTTCCTCGGCTTCATCGACTCCCAATCTTGCTCTCCCAAAATCATTTTTAAACATAGATCTAACGGACTTGCAACACTTCGCCAAACAACTTTTGTATTCGATCTCTCCTCATTTGATTCGTTGTGGGTATTTTGGTCATTCACTCATAACTCCACCAATCTACTCCTGGAGAAGAATTAGTCGCCACCATGTTTCTGCTGGACTGCTTCTACGCGTCATGGCAGAATGAGGCCATGATTCTATTTCTGGGTTTGGATGGCGATTGGGATGATCTGGGGACTGGGTTGCTTTGGACGAAGAAAAAAGATGGGGAGGGAGAGAATAGAAAAATGGAGAATTGTTATGAAAAAAGAAAGAATGGAGTATACTAATAATATAAATTAAATAATATAATATTAATATATATAGAGTAAATAATATAATATTAAGATTTGTTAATTATTCTGTTTTTTAGTCCGACACTGCACCAAACGCTTCACTAAGTTAGTCCAACTTAATCTAGTCTAAGCCAGTCCATCTTAGTCCCTGAAGCTAATCCAGTCCGAGATAGTCCGGTGTAACAAACGCACCCATAGGCATAGAGGGAGATTAAAAAAAAATTATAAAACACATTAAAAGTAAAAATATAAAGTAATTTAAAAATACCAAACACATTAAAAAATTATAATAATTAATTAACAAGTGCAAAAAATGTGAAAAAATAGGCAAATGCTTGTGATTGTATCCTCTACGCTTTGATGATGGGTACATCGCTGTTTGAACTTTTAGAACCATACAAACCCTCATGAATAGTGTTTTAAGGGAGTTCAAAATAAATAAAATTCATAATCATTAATGTACAAGTATGAAAAATGTGAAAGTATATATAAACGCTTGTGATTCCATCATCAACCTTGAAACGCAACTCCTTTTGTTTTGCATATCCTTGGACATGGTACTTTGTAGTAATGTACGAATGTTTTTTCAGTAGGCTTTTACTTTGGGTTATGTAATACTTGAAAGACAAATATTTTTTATGTTTTGAAGTAATATTTATGTGACAATGTGGTATGCATATACTAATTTAGTATTATATTTTTCATTTTTTGGGGTCAAATTATGTTTTTCATTTTCATTATTTATTGATTTAAAATATAATTTCTTTAAATGGTAACAGGTTGGGTCATATTACCTGATAACATTAACGG